TCTTTAAATAAACGACTTAAAAGTAAAATAATTTGATGGGGCCCAGTACACCTACGTGAACATCACAGAATTTGAGTAATGGCAGAAATTAAATATACGAGGTGCGATCAGAAAGTTTCAAGACTGCGCGTATAAAAACCCGTACACTTATCTCAGGTATTAAATTCTTCCATCGCCCTCGAAGTAGTTCCCCTGGGAGTGAACACAACGATCCCAGCGCCGCTGCCAAGCCTGGAAGCATCCCTGGAAATCTTTCTTTGTCAGCCTGTCAAGCACCATCTGCGATTCTGCCTGAATCTCTTCTATCGTCTCAAATCTCATTCCCTTTAGCTGAATTTTCATCTTTGGAAAGAGGAAGAAGTCACACGGAGCTAAATCCGACGAATAAGGAGGGTGCGGGATGACGGCCAGGGTGTTTGAGGCCAAAAACTGCCGAACTTTGAGGGCGGTGTGCGCTGGCGCGTTGTCATGATGCAGCAGCCAGTTGTGGTCATGGCCGTCATCCTGCACCCTCCTTATTCGCCGGATTTAGCTCCGTGTGACTTCTTCCTCTTCCCAAAGATGAAAATTCAGCTAAAGGGAATGAGATTTGAGACGATAGAAGAGATTCAGGCAGAATCGCAGATGGTGCTTGACAGGCTGAGAAAGAAAGATTTCCAGGGATGCTTCCAGGCTTGGCAGCGGCGCTGGGATCGTTGTGTTCACTCCCAGGGGAACTACTTCGAGGGTGATGGATGAATTTAATACCTGAGATAAGTGTACGGCAGTCTGTAAACTTTCCGATCGCACCTCGTATGTATTTTTTTCTCGGTTATTTTTCACAAATTTATGTTTCTTTACAATCATATCACGTTCCTTCGCTACTGTAATATGAAATAGACGAAACAAAAGTCCCGTTGATTTTCAACAAGTGACAGACTTTCGGCTATAAATAAAGCAGTTTCCATAGTGGTTTTACAAACGACGGTCCGGAAATCGAGTCATGTCAGTATATACAGTATATATAGAAAACTATAAATGCCACTCGGTATAAAGTAATCTAATTTTCGTACTTCGCTATTTTATCTGGTGTGGAGATGTTATAACCCAGATAGAGGTTCTGTTAATTTAAATTTAAGTTTTTTGTGTTGAGAGTGCACTTGATTTAAAACGATTAACCACTCACTAATCCACAGTTTTAAGCTAAAATACGAAATAAAAATTGAAACTGTAATACGCATTAATGGTCGGACATGATTATTATAAGATTTTAAGCCTTCTAGTAAAATTAAAGGACGGAATCAGTCTACAACTTTCGTCAGTCAATCAGTTATCGATTTCGTAAATATTACATTCTTTTATCAAAATATATGGAATATAAACCAGGCCTACATATAATTTCCAAATGCGCTGTATTTGGATTTGTATTTCACTTATTTCGGGCAGAATTGATTGATTGAATTTATTAATTTCCTTAATATTTTACACATGTAATGAGCGCTGTTGACAGACATAATCAAAATAAATCCACAACACTGAAAACAGACACGTTCATTTTGAAATGTTAATTAGGAATACTGAGATATATTTTATTTTCCATGGATTCCGTTCATATGGACGTGTAGATCATTAAAAATTTGTTTAAGATATGAGTCGTAACGAGTTATGGGTGTTATGTAATTTGATTTCTTTTAAAATTAATACCACGCGTCGTATTTCAGAAAATCGACGAAGTTCGATTTTGTGCTTAATGCAAAGGAATAACCGATCGATAGAAATTAAAAATTAAAGTCCGATGACATATTCTGATTCATTTCTGATTGTGTTATTTTATTTCAGTCATTCAGATACATATGCTATTAGTGAGTCAGGTAAATGATTGTGAAAGGTTAATTTTAAATAAATTAATCGGAAAATATCATTATTCTATGCCGTTATTTGCATGGAGAGAAAAAGAAAACCTCGTAATTCTCGATCAGGGTAGTCGATACCCACTTCGACATTCGAATTCAGTATTCGGACCCAGTACAGGTCCCTGCTAAGGAGGCTCAGGATTCGAATTAGCGTTAAAAAGTGTAAAATCTTTTAAATATTACGTATTTAAGAATTCAGTCCGTACCGCGAAGAAAACACAACTATTCACCATTACAAAGATCAACTGGTTAACCTTTTGAAGTCAAAACTCGTCTAAATATTACGTATTTAAGAATTCAGTCCGTACCGCGAAGTAAACACAACTCTTCACCATTACAAAGATTAACTAGTTAACGCTGTTTAAGGAAATAATCGCTGTTTACACTGTGAATCATACGAAACACGTAAATACAAAATGAAGAGTTATTGAAGTGTGATTATTTTGGGAGAAGGGAAACACCAATTAGAAATTTGCGTTAATTTTATGAATTTCGTTCTAAAGGACGCATAACATCTGGATCATGGAATCGAGACACTCCGCTGGCTCTGTTGAGACCTGTCTGATGTTAAAGTAGTTCAGTAGGAAACTGCAGTTGTTATGAAAAGAAACTAAACGTCTTGCTTCTCGTATGTTAGAAATCCTTACCAGTGTCTGCCGGTCTCGACCTCAAGAGAATTCATTCCACCCTCAGCAGATTTCTAAAAGTTCAGGTCTTTTTCCCATTATAAAGTACACTATCTGGCTTCTCCGATGTCGGCCGTGTTGATGCCAGCTCAGTTGTTATGCATGTCCCCCCCCCCCAGTTATTTTAGCCAACTTTTATTTGTACAGACAAAACTTTTATCAACGCAAGCATATGGAATGCTAAATACATTATATATTTAAAGTTTCTTTCCTAGAACCAATGTTACACTCGAGTCAACGAAGGCTACATTACCGTCCTGTTTACTCGCACGCAGGTCAGACGACATTACAGAATTAGACGGATGCTGAGACGTGTTTCACGAAAGACTTTATCGCATTTTGCTAGCTGATGTGATGTGTACCTACAACTGTGATTCCTAAACCCGCGGAGGAGTTTCCCCCCTAAAACAAGGGGTCGGCAACCTGCGGCCTGTGATCCGCATGTTGCACTCGCAAATTCTTCTCGCAGCCCGTCACATGATTTGAGAATTTGCCACAAATTTCTTTCGTGAAGTTAAGTGTTTAATTTTTTAAATATTAATATGTTACAGGATTTTTGAGACGTTGATTATCAACTGAGTTTTTTATTATTATTAGTGTTCTGTCTGACGACAGGTCCATATGAACAGGATCCTTCCATCCTTTTCTCGGACTGGGACCTGTTCATATACGTTCTTGGCAGATGATCCAGAAGTGGGTTGCCATTGCCTTCTTCTGTGTGTGAAGGGAGTAATTGTTGGGATGCCACGGAGGAAAACTCCGTGTTGCCTAGACCACGGCCTTGCCCAACACAAGTTATAAATTCGGGCACCGCCGGGAATCGAACCCGAGACCCCAGGATTACAAGGCCAGCGTTCTAACCGCTAGACCACCGTGGCGGTATCAACTGAGATGTGTGAAGAAAAACGCGTGTTGTATTTTTTTTCAGGTGTATACCAATTATTTTTTATACGTTTTAAAAAATACAGTTTCGCTTACAAAATTTTAGTCGGAAATCAATATTCGTACGTTGAGGGATACAAACACTAAGTTAATTGAAAATTTTAGGGATGTTAGGAGTCTTGGGCTTGTAGAACTGGATTGATTTCTTCCTGGTGAATGAACTGTATAAGAGGTCAATGCTAAATAACGCGTAGATAGTCCGGACCACTTTGATTTAAGTTTTATAAATGAAAGTCAAACAAGGGTTAGAACACAGGAAAGAGGCCTAGGAAGTTAGTCGAATGACCTACACGCAACATAACAATAAATCATTACGAATCAGTCACCCGACTTAAAAGTAATAGATTTCAAACTTAAAAATCGTGACCTCGATTTTTTTAAGTCATTACGTTGGTGGCTATTTCAACAAGCATTAGGAAGTGTAAATAACTCAGTAGTAGTGTTGTTTCCTGATGACTTTATAGGACACGTAACTTTAAATATGTATTCAGCTTTTTCCAAGTGTATAAACATCTGTATGACTTAATTGGACACAAATGACAATTTAAATTTTGTCTTGGCTGTAGAAATATTGAAATACTACTCTTATTACGCATGCGTGTAGGAGTAACTCGGCAGTGTTTTGTTTAATTTTGTTCCTTACAGCAAATATGATGCGATTTTACGAAAATTATTGAAAGTACGTGATAGATTAAATAAGAATTTCATTACTTGTTTACGTACTCAGTTTTTCTACAGTACTTAAAGCCCCTTGGCCTGATCATATATGTGATGTTTTTAAGCTATAATGATATTTGGTATGAGAGCTTGGTCAGGGGATTTGAATTTTTATTCTTAGATAAGTAGGTTTTGATACATAAATACGTATTCTTTCCTGTGCTTTCAAGAAAGTTGATGAAAGCTGAAGCCATATAGTCAATAAATGAAAAAAGACGTGTTTTAGGCGTACGATTTCATTTCATTTGGTGAAATCAATTAAAATACTTTTGTAGTAGAGCTTATGAAATCTCCAAGAAAGCTCACAAAATTACCCCACAATTTACGTGTGGTTTTATGGAGGGACCTCACGTTTTACAATAATAAAATGAATCTGACTTGTGTCACTTTAGCTCTGAAGGGTACGTATATATTTCGATGCGAATATAACATTTCAAGAACAGTAACAATATATCAAAGCCAGTGAAGGCTGTGTATTTATTTTAACGAAATCTCTCAGTGGTATGTTTTCAATTTTGATCTATGAGTTGTAAATACGATACGAAATCAATTTCAGGTTACACATTTCCACAAGTTTTAGGGACACAAAGCTGGTAGTTAACAGGTGTAAAAATAGCACACAATACCGGCTGTAAACAGCAAATACATAATTGGTTCCAAAAATTTTGAAATCTGAAAGGCACTTGTTAGCGTTGAAATTGGTATATGGTCACCATCAAATTCAGCAGCAAAGGTAATTATTGACGTTGTAATTATGTTACAGCCGGTGCTGGGGAAATGTCTGCTCTCCTCGCTCCTCTGATGTGGGCAGTAACTGTTGGAATTGTCATGAGCAGATAAATCATCGCCATTTGCCTGCAGATGCTGTAAGAGCCATCCGCCAGCGTCTGTCAATCAACGAAGACAAGGAATCACCCATCTTCAGCGGTTCCCAAAGTGTCGTGTAATTTGGCAATTCGTTTATATCCCTCTCTATCAAGACAGGAAGTGAGTGGATTCCATTTTACGTGCGGTAGATCTTCATGAATTCCGGAAAGACTTAACTTAATGCGCTGTAAAGATGAAATAATATCGCATTATCCGGGCTTCCAGATGGAATTTAATATAATTTTTACCAGAAGATATATTGTGTATAACAAGTCTTTAACAGCAACCATTTAATTAATCCCATTATTTTCGTGTTATAGTATCCGCAAGCCGATTACGTGGTTCAAGGTCACAGAAAAGACGTTTCAAAACTGGCAGCGCTGGAGTGGTGACTTGGTGAACTAAGTGGACTCATGTCCCTACGTAGCCTTGAATCATTGAAATTTGGTAATGGTTACTGTAATTTTTATATTATTTTAAATATTTTAATTTTGTTTAATTATATTTTAATTAATGTTTTACCCTTTAAATTTAGCAGATATTCATTTTTAACATAAACCACGTTATCCCTACCTAATTATAAAAATCCTATTATTCTTAAAGTGCGTTAATGAATTTTATGTCCCTATAAACGTGAAGAAGAATATTATTATTCAATAAAAAAGAAAAAAAAAGTCGTCAATGTTTCTAGCTGTGCTATTTAGAATGACTGCGGTGTATGAGAGTGTCCTTCGTGTTTTAATACCTCAAGGTCCTTAAACTTAAAGCGAATTCGCGAAGGTCTATTGTAAGTTCAGTCCTTAGTGATATTTCTGCCAAAAATACACGCGCGTTAACCAGCCTTCGGATGAAAATTTTCCAATTCGAGCATTTCTTTGCTTATCGCGCGTAAAGAACGCCTCGTTCTGTAGCAGAATCACTTTTAATGTATACGTTGCTGGTACCTCATCGCGTCAATCAAGACTGACTTAAGTGACTCTTAAGAGAAATGTTTAATTAGTGGCCAAAGGATTGTTTCGGGAGACGGAGGATAATTGTCGCCAATCAGATTATTTTATACGGACAAATATCAAAATAATGAGCTTAACCATTGTTGGGTTCTTATATAACAATTACTGTAATGTGAGATAATAGATCATAAGGCCAAAATATAAGTAACAATCACATGAAAATAGACCTTAAGCAATAGTTTTTTTTTTAATATTTTAAGAGAGTGGATAGAATTTTACGTAAATACAGCATGTAAAGTTAGTAAAAATAATTTATTAATGTGTTGAAGCTTTTGTTTTGTTTTAATTCTGGTCCATTTTCATGTGTGTTATAAATTACTTACGTGCATATGTTATGGTAAACGTAAATGTCAATATAGACGTGAGACGAGGCAGAAAGATTTGAACTTCTAAACTTTTCCTTCGTTAAATATGAGATATTATCACTCATAGATATTGTTTTCCCCACCTATTTCAAAGACAAGTAATAGTCTATTTTGTATTTTTCCGAGTTTCGCGTGAGTCTCACTGTAAACATCGATTATTTCCTTAAACATCGCGTACCAGTCGATTTATTAATGGTGAAGTGCTGTGTTTTCTTTTCGGTACGGACTGGATTCTTAAAAGCGCTTCGGAATCGTATGATTACTTCTATTTCAGAGTTAGACATTTTTATGATTCCGTCTAATGTCAATGAGAAATTTTGAGGTTATGTCTCGTCTTTTTGACATCGCTCAATAGTATTCGACGACCGTAACGTTTGCACGTCAGGACGGCTTTACGTAATTTTGTAACTGGAAAGACGTTAGCCAGCCGGTGTACAAAAGAACCGAGACTTGTGTTCTACGTTCGTAAGTATTCATTTATTTTGTGTGCTCACTGTATTAAACAAACCATGAACTGAGTGTCAATGTACATATAAATACGGGCTACACATTTTATATAAGGCCTATAAAATTATATAAGCGATATATATATAAAAAATAATTACGCAATTTTACTTGAAAAATTTCATGATAAATTTATCAACACTCAAATATTACTGTGAATTTTAGGCGTGTTTCCCGTGTTAATAAAGAGATATTTATGAGATGTATTTTTTTGTGATGTTAACAGATGTGTACTCCGCGCATGCGTTGAAAACGGAACAAATGAATTTTGTTTTTGTGCGCGTGGTCGTATATTGAAGGGCTCAAAGTGTATCTTATTTTCGCAAATATTTGAGCGTACCACAGGCAACATGAGCTTCAAATAATCGATATTGTAACACCCGTAAGATACCGTTTATAATGTTACATTACAGCTGTACAAGATTTAATAGACTATAACCTTAAATAAAAATACGACAATGATTGAACTGCATCAATCCTGCCCCTTAACCAATCATTTATCCTTTCTTACAGTTCCATTTTATAATTTGTGATCATGAAGCATGAAGATCCAAATCTCCACGTGTTCTCTGACGTCATCATTTGTTGTAGGTGAGTTACCAGCTACGGATCACGATTCTGACTTGTTTTAAGTTCTGGCGGAGTAATTGTCATTAAACATTAATAGTATTCGAAATTTATCGTAATTCCATAACCAAGTTTCTGAACTCGTCGATATAACGATAATATTAATATAGGTTTTTACACATAAGATAGAAATGTAAAAATCAGCCAATAATTTTCTTGAAGTGATGATATACTTTCAAAAAAAATATTAAAATTAAATAATTATGTGCTGTTACGAGACAATCTATCACATATTTAATTCTTAATAAGTGTAATGTATTAAGTTATTCGTAAGATATAACTTAGATTACACGTAGATTATAATTGTTTAGGCATGTGGAACAGTTGAATGCTACCAGAATATAGATACAGTTAGCAGCCAAAAAATTATAGATTCCAGGAAAGATCAAATACAGAGTGTCCCACCCAATAACCTTGTAATATTTTACATTCGATAACAGAACATAAATATGCCACAAATTGGACATATCTGAAGATAAACATTGAACCACATTTTTAGAGGAAAATAAAAAAAACTAATTAGAAGCCATTGTTAAAATTATAAAGAAATAATGGATATAGCACGACTAAAAATCTGTAAAATCTGCTACGTAACACATAAATGAAATCAAAATAAATAACAAAAATCAGATAAAATCTCACTTAATGTCATTCAAATGCGCTGAAAATTATGTTGGATATATTTCATTATTTAAAATGTCGACATAGAAATTTTATTCCAAACAACATTGAAGAAACGCCAAAAACAAAGAAATATCATGTTGACTTCAGTGGTGCTATGTATAAGTACGTAACCTGACACGTGCGGTCGCTGACACATAGTATTACGTACGACAAACAGATGTCACTTTAAACGCAAGCTACAAGGCCAATCGTAACAGGCTGATCGTAAATACGCAAGTAATTTAATAATTCGCAACAAATCATAAAAGACATAATATCAAAAAATAAATGCAGTTAATTAAAAGAGAAATATTAAAAACAACTGTAGTAGCGAAAAGTTAATTATTATAGTACAATAAGACGATAAAAATAGTCCCTTTGTCGACATAGTCGTGGAAATAAACCACGCGCGTAGGAATACAAAAGAAATGGGATCTCATACGACAGTAGTGCATCAACCGGGCTTGCAAAGTGACGTACCTTGAACATCGCCCACACGGAAGACCAGCTAATAACAGGTATTTACAGAGCAGTTAAGTCAAATCACATCCAATACACACTCTCCAACACATCTTAAGTAATATTCATTTTAATATTACCTTCCAGTCTACGTCTTTGTCTTATGAATGATCTCAGCCCTTCAAGCATTTCAACAACAACATTTTAATCTTTTCCCATCAACTTAAGCGTGCTACATGCCAAGCCCATCTCATTCTCGTAGATTTGATTATAGTAAAAATAACAACTTATATTTTGTGAAGATTAAAAATTACGTTTTATACATCCAAATATTATCATCATCATTAATCTGTGTTTTTTGTCGTAAACATTACGATTTTAGACAGATAAAAATTCAAAATATTCTGAACCTCGTAGTAACAAGCTTTCTCTGAATCTGTTACGTCTTTAATTTCTTTGTTAATAAGATTTTGATTGGTTAACGTCGTTCCCGGATATTTTAACTTTGGCCCATTTTACTTGTGATCTTGTCCGGTGATCTGGTGACCAGACATGAGCGCTCAGTGGTTCGATTTGCGTCTATACCAAATTCCTTACAAGCATCTGTGTTTTCCTTTGTGATATTCGTATTTTCACCCAGTAAATTAACGCCATCGGCATAGAACCGAAAACTCTGCTCCATACGATTCCAATCACGCGTTGTTTTCTTTGATTTTTCTGATCGCATATTCATCAAAACTTTAATACGTAACAAAATATTATCTTACCTTTTTTTGGGGTTGTGTAGTTTTTAATTTCGAGGTCATCAATTTTTTAACGAAGTAGAAGGAAAAATATTTTCATATACTATGCAATGCATCTGACGAATGACGTCCATACGTACGCGTACATATGGAATTAATTGACACGAAATTCTATGACGCTCGCTAAATCCAAAATAAACGTGTTATTTAAAATTTGTCTAGCGTGTTTAATTTCAGCCTTAGCATTCTGGGCAGATTAAAGGCATTAAGAAGGAATATTAAATTAACAACGCAACCAGAACAAGTCAGACCACGTTTTTACAATCGATTAAAATGCATTTAATAGTCGTGAATCGATATATATATATATATATCCATGGTGATTGAGTTGTAACAACATGTGAATTGTTTGATAGACACCAACGTTTCTTAAAATTATACCGTCTGCTTCCGCCCTGAAGATGGCAGCAGTATGTTCTTCCGAAACGTTTGTATCTACCAACAAATAAACACGACTAAATAACATTATTATCGCAATTCGTACGTCACTTATTTCCCAGTTTGGGAGTTTTTTAGAAGGGAAAGGAGCGTATTTTTGTGAATCCTCGTTTATAGACACGTGACTTCGTTGTACGCGTATTCGCTTTTCAATTGTTTTATTCCAGTATCGTGATGAGCCTTGTTGGACGCTACAGCGCAGGCGTACAAAGTTTAATGACTCGCCCGACCATTTAGACTTCCGGGAGTTGTAAATTAAGTCCTGTCATGCTGTATTACTCAGAAATTGCATGGGTATTTATACTTCTCTCGTTGTATGTGTTTTGTATGTACGCTTATGCCTGTTATTGTAACAAGTGTTAAGTGTTTATGGCAGTTTTGATAACCAAAATAAAATCAATAATTAAAATTACATCTGCGATTAAAATTTATTTTCCCGTTTCGATTTAGGAATTTTTGAGTCAGTGGAATAAAATATGTTTCAGTTGGAATTTTACACTGCGAATTATTTCAAAGGACAGAAATATTACGTCAATCAGGTTCGAATCTGTAGAAAAATGCAATTTTTTGGGAAAAGCTTTTAAAAAATATGTATTTTCAATTCGAGTAGGCTTATATATTTACAAATTTAAAAAATATACTTTAACCAATTTTGGAATAAGACCCTGAGACTTTTAATACGTTCTTAAAACAAGTCGCCTAAGGACAGGGCTCATTGATCTTGCACACGTTGAGTATGAGAATGAAGCACTTCCAAAGCTTCAGGGACACGCGCAAGGTCTAATGATGAAAAGTTTCCACAAAGTCAACTCCTTTAAGCGGCTTACCAAGTTATTATCCCATAGCTTAAGCTGAAGTTCACCTCCAGTCTCGGCAAGCTACATCCTGCTAAGAGGTCCCCAGTTTACCGTCGTACGTAACTAAAGACCCACAAAAATCACGTTTTAATAAAAAAAAAAATACAACATTTTTAGCAATTTCCCAAATTTTTATGCCCGTAATTTATCGTGAATATCTCATTTGTTTCCCTCCCTCCCCCTCCCCTCAAAACTTTAAAATCTCGATCTACAATGATAAATTCAATTCTAAAGGATTTTGACGACAGTAGTTTACACTTAAAATTAATCATTATCAGGACTCTTTCCGTCGTATTTTCTTTAAAATCACGACGTTTCGGAGGCTGGTTCAGTCCAGTGACAGAGACTAGCGCTATCTAAGGGACCCAAAAGAGTAGGTACCTCTCACCTGAAGACGGAGACGGAACCAGCCTCCGAAACGTCGTTATTTTAAAGAAAATACGATGGAAAGAGTCCTGATAATGAATGATTTTAAGTAAAATGATAAATGTTTAGATTTAATAGACGTAGGATAGATTAACTAGATGGATAGGTGAATGAGTGGACATGGCGGACACAATAACAGATAGAAGCTATTGAAAACGTTGTTAAATAAACCAATAAATGGTAAAGAAATTCTTGACGTGATAAAGATAATTACTGTCATCCCGCTCGTCAGGAAATTAGCAAGTTTTATTTCCAAGTGACATTTTAACTGCCTTTATTTGAAGGTATATTCTTGTCATATTTCATCTTATGAAGCTTCGTAACTAAAATTCTGCATGCATTTCGTGTCTCTACGAGATTTATTTTGTTATTGTAACATGTAAATCGAGGGTCTTGTGTTGAAGTTTGTTTCCCGAGAATGGAAACGTAAGTTGAAACATATACAAAAATTCGTAGAATCTCTGTTGAATTCAAGTGTTTAAAACGATGTAAGTAAAAAGTAAATGTGAATGAATCGATGAAAATTTGAGGAAGAGAATGAACGATAGATTTAAAATGGGGATAAAATCTCTACATACACAGACACACACCAGACATTACCGGTAGAAAGAAATATGAATTTTGTGCTAAACTGTTTTCATTAGTCGACCAGGATTAAAGTATAGATTAAAAACACTGTAGATTTTCATAAAAAAAATTGCTTAACTTTTGTAGTGGGACTCTGAACTCTGGTTTGTTCAGTGACAAGAGTATTTGCCTTCTCTTACACTAAATAAGAATTCAACATTCAACATTCCAGAGCTGACCATTGGAAGATCAGTTCTGTAATGTTTTGCATTTTAATACTGAAATATGCCTACGATACATTAGTTCAAATTTATAACCTTCGATAGCAGTATTTTTTAAAGAGGAATGTAACCGTGGCCTGTTGAAATATTTGTTTTGAAAAGTCAACTAAGCTTCCTGGCATATAATCCTAACAACATCTATCTGCTAAGTTAAGGGCTCGTGTACTCATGGTCGACCGGGGAAAAGGGATCTGTGGGGGGGTTCCACCCCTGTCATCGACCAGCCAGGATTGCAGAGTTGAGTGGGGGTCCGTTGAAATCCGCCAGTCAACAGACGGGCGTAGTCGACTTCGATTCTCATTTCGACTAAGCGGATTACTTTGACCGCGGATAAATAGTAT